TGAGAAGGGATTAGGGATACTGGTGGATGAAAAGCTAGACACGAGCCAGCAATGCACGCTCACAGATGAGAAGGCCAACCAGACCCTGGGCTGAATCAAAGGAAGCATGGCCAGCAAGTCAAGGGAAGTAATTCTGCCTCTCTACTTTGCTCTGATGAGACCTAACCTGGAATACTGCATCCAGCTCTAGAATCCTTAGCACAAGAAAGACATGGACCTGTTAGAGCAGGTCCAGAGGAGGGCCACAAAGATGATCAAAGGGCTGGAGCACCTCTCCTACGAGGAAAGGCTGAGAAAGTTGGGGTTATTCAGCCTGGAGAATGTGACTCCAGGGAGACCTTACTGCAGCCTTTCAATACTTAAAAGGGGCTTATAAGAAAGACCGGGACAGACTTTTTAGTAGGGTCTATTGCAATAGGACAAGGAGGAATGGTTTTAAACTAAAAGAAGGTAGATTCAGACTAGACACAAGGAAGAAGTTTTTTACTATGAGGATTGTGAAACACTGGAACAGGTTGCCCAGAGAGATGCCCCATCCCCAGAAACATTCAAGGTCAGGCCAGCAAAGGCTTTGAGCAACCTAATCTAGTTGGATAGGTCTCTGCTCATTGCAGGGGGAGGTGGACTAGGTGACCTTTAGATTCCTTCCAACCCAAACCAGTCTATGATTCTATGATCATAATTCTGCTAGGATAAGGACCAACATAATCCTAGTAAGAGAAGTGACTGAAAAAAAAATAAATACAAGTGTTGCATTGTAAATTTGGGAAGATTAACTTCACTCAGTCTGAAAATAAGATACATCTTTAAAGCAGACAGAGGCAAAACAGCAAGGTCACTGATGATTTGAAGTAAGCCACAAGCCACAGCACAACAACTGTTCAAACTGTACACAGAGAAGTCCTACAAACAGGAAGAACAATGCTACTCTGACCCCAACGTATTAAAGCCACAGTGACTCAGACTTCTGAAAAAGTAATAACCACTGTAATAACTAGACTTTTAGAACTGACAGTTGTTTTCCTTACATAAATCAATATAGCTGGAGCAGTTATGAAGGACCGTATCCTGTGGGAGGGACCCATGCTGGAGCAGGAAAAAAAAGTGCAAGAAGGAACAGCAGAGAAGAACTGTTATGAACTGACTGCAACCCTGCATTTCCTCTGCATCACCCAGACTAGAGAGAGGAGGTAGAAGAGTTTGGAATAAATGGGTGAAGTTGAGCCTGGGAAGAAGGGGGTAGGGAGAGGGCATTTTTAGTTCTGTCTTTGTTTCTTACCACCCCGCTCTTCTTTTAACTGGCAATAAATTAAATTAATTTTCCCCCAGTTGAGTCTGTTTTACCTCTGACTGTAATTGGTAAGCCACCTCCCTATTCTTATCTCAACCCACAAGCTTTTCCATCGTATTTTCTTCCTCTGTCCTGCTGAGGAGTGAGTAAACAGCTGGATGGGCATCTGGCAGTCAGCCAAGTTCAACCCACTACACCTTCCCGTATTTAAAGCAATCAGAAAGGGCTACCAAAGTAATACCAAGAAGCTTTTTAGAAGCTTCCTCTATACCCAAATTATCCAAAATAGGACCCTAGCAGTTTAACAAACTGCATTGACTTCCACAGTACTAGGAAGCAGTAAGCATGCCAGTGAAGAGTGAAATGCTTGAAAGCATTAAAAATGAAAATATGTTTTAAGCATTGTAGCTACTTTTACATGAAGGTAATCTCCAACTCCCACCATGGGAGAACTGGAAAATTTAAAACAGAAGAAAGAATAAAGGTAATAGACAAAGAGCACTCAAAGTCATCAGAAAGACATACTGCACTTCTGCAGTGCCAGAACTGAAAAGCATACTACAGATTACGTAACCCTTACTCTGCACATTAACACAACTGACTTTCTGAATTGTATTAAATGTAAACTTTCAGGAATGGAAAGGGTAACCTACAATGTGGATTGAATAAGACTAAGTTAACAATATTTGGGAAGATTTTTTAACACTTATTTTACACAAGACCATGCACATTTCAAGTTCCAGTTCACTTCCTTTACAGGCAGCATTATTCCACAGCTGTGGCTTCAGAGTGATAACTCACCACACTAGTCCCTAAAGCAAAGCTATTAGTGGGTTAAGAGAGTGTTTTTGATATGCATGCTGATACTAATTAAGTCCGGAAACACAGACCTGACAGGAGACTCATTCACAAAGGTAGTGACCCACAAAAGCAAAAAAAATGCTAGAAATATGCTATGACTTGATACAATATGATTATTTAAACATACTTGTTTTCAGAACAGTTTGGTTTTAGCATTCAATATGTGGCAGCTCTCTTGCATGGATCTTTTATTGCCACTTTAAAAACCTGCTAAAACAAAACAGGTTTCTTAAAGGCCTCTAGAATGCTTCAGGTATATTCTGACTTTGGTCAAGACTGGACTAGAATTCAATCCTTAATGAAAAAGTGTAGAAGCATATCAAAAGCCTATAAAATGCATGATATAACTAATGCCCAATTATGAATTGGAGTTTTGATAAAAAGGGTCCTTATATTTCATTGACTTGTGAACAGTTCATCAGATAAGCAACTGGACTGAACACATGACATAATTCAATTACAAAACTACAAGTAGTAATAAAGTTGAACTAAAAAAATACAACCGACTAGGCCAGTTACATCTGTCATGCCTTTCTTCCGTCAAAATGCTATGATATGATTAATTTCCCAGGTTGAGGTTGTAACCTGGATTCTCATTCAGAACAAAAGAAAAAACAAGCCTGTTAAGCTTCATTTCTGTCAACTTCAGAACTTTCTAGAATCAGATGCTTAAATTCCAAGAAGAAAGTATATTTTTAGTCTACAGACTTAAAGACAATTGTCCAGAGCTAACTATTTAGACATTTCTGGCTTGTAGAAAAGAATGAGCCTTCATAGTACCGAACCACCCTCCACCTCCTCCCAAAAAAACCCAAATAAACAAACAAAACTACTTTGCTTGAAGGCTACATTGTTTGTTCCTGACCTACAACATCATGGCAGGCATTATCTTAGAGAACTACATCCCATAGAAAGTATTAGCTTTGTTATGAGGTAACATGAATTATCTACTCTCCTACTGTTTCAGCTCCTTCTCAACAGGGAGCACCACATATTGGATGCTGCTGGAAAACAGAAAGAAAACAAAAAAATATGGAACTAGCCCAAATACAATAGGGACTCATAAAAACTTGAGGTCAGCTTTTCTTGACTGTAAGACATTTACAGGATCAATGTACTAGTGAATACAGCAAACACTTGAATGACCAATAAACCCTTTGTAATCTAAGAATAGTATATAAGGACAGTATCCTAGCCTGTCTAAAATCTGCCCCCAACTTTTAGTAATTCCTGCTTTTATAGCAGCTGAAGGCTGTTTCAAGAATTTATGGATATGTACTAAGGAAGACAATTTTGTTATAGAAGTTCCCCCCCAACATTTAAATCCCATGGTAGCTTTCCCAATGATCTCTACACAAGCTTTAACAGAGCTTTGACTGGTTTGAACTCAGTTTCAAGCTGCAAAATTATTATCTTGACTTGCTTTTTGGGATTTTTTTTCCACTATTCTAATCAATCAAGTACTGTGTGACACTACCATTTAGTTGCCTTGTTATGAGAAAATGGATATTGAGTCACCAGAAACAGAAGATTGCCCTTTACAGTAGGCAAAATGACAAATCCCTATTGGCAGTTTTAACAAGACAAAATTCAGCTATTACTTGACCACTGGTACCATTTTATATATATTTCTTTCCTGCCTGTCACTTTTTCAGGTAGCAATTCATAACAACACAATATGGGTTTCTAAATATTCTAACAAAGTATAAATTTCTAAATTACATACAATAAGTCTCTTCAGATAACATAAGATACAAGAAGCTAAAACATGTAAAAATATCCTCAGTCTGTACATAAAAAAATACAGTAAAAGCAACTGCAATTTAGTTAAAAGTTTTCACTTAAAAAGACAATTAAAATAGTAAAAACCTATGTACAAACACTGAGCAATTAACTATCAGCTGTAACAGCAGTCTTATTGACAAAGATGCATCTATATAGTGCTGAGTGGTACCTTCTGGAATTTTCAACTCAAATTTTCAAAACAAAAAAAAATTATTTTCAGTTATAGTGAACAGATTTTCCTATTAAACATGAGCTTTTAATGTTTTAAGACTGTTAAAAACTGTTAAAAAATTAACAAGTGTCAATACCCATAGATATCAAATAAATACATTAAGATCCCATTTGAAATAACTGCTATATAATAAAACATATCTCAATCACACACTAGTAGGCAAGGAAGCAGTCCCTCCCCACCTCCCACCAAGAAATACTTTACACTTGAAAGTTTAAATACTACAACTACAACCTTCCTGAACAGGAGTAAAACTTTAAAACTGAACATTCTCACTAATCAATTCATGCCATAAGTATCCTATATTCAAAGAGTAATGTTTTGATGACATTTACCGATTACTCAATTAATCAAGAACCTTTAGTAGTCTTTGCTAGTATTTTAAATCAAGTATTTCCTTCTCCCCCATTCCCATCCTTCTGTAGATTAGAAATTAAGAACTCTGTTCTTCAAATGTAACAAGCCATTTTAATTGCCATGAGTCAGCAGGA